CAAGGCTTCGAATCATTCCAGGTTGTGTGTCACACTCTCTGATTTTTTGCTTTCTCTATATCTGAGATAATTGTAAAGGTGCGATCTAGATTATTAATAATAGCTTCCACATGCTGCAAATTATTTGCAGCTAATTTGGTTGACTAAACATTGCAATGCAGCTATTTTAGATTTTACCTTTTGATGTTGTTCGGTAATATCTTCATGACACTCATTTATATCTGATTGATCAAAAACGGTTAGTTCATATGTTTCAACAGTTTCTATATTTTCTGATGTATTTTCTGATTTATTCCCATCCCAAATTAAAAAAGGATAGTCAGATTGTCATTTAAAATTTGAGTATATTAATCGAATACCTTCAGATTGATTTACTTTTTCTGATGCTTTATTAACTAAATGCTTACATATAAGAAAGCAATTATGAAAAAAAGCTGGACAGCTGCAAATCCAGCGTTCCAAATCTATATAATATCAATCTTCAATATTATTAATTGATTTAGTAAGAAGATTTTTCTATTCTTTTTTGAATTCTTCGAACCATGATGGTATTACTCTACCTAACTTTAATTGTTGAAGTCAGTTGGCCTGATCAGGTACAACACGTGTACAGATAATCCATATTAGGTAGTCAAGTCATGGGCGATTATATTGATGAAGATAACAATGCTTTAAGACTCGCCAGTGTGCCTCAATCATCATGTTGGTTTTGCCAAGTGGTATAGTTGTTTTGGTTGAACATGCCCAGAGACACCACCTTGTAGGCTTATACCAAGAAGACCACAAATAAGCCCACAATATTACGAGATTATTAACAACACAGAATTCATATATTTCAGAAACTGCTTTTGTTCGTATTTCAGTAGGGGACAAAAATTGTCCATTGATGCCAATGGGAATCTTAGGATGCATATTGAAATGGATTCTAACTATTTCAATAATAGCTTTATGAAGAGCAGGTGGGCAAACTATATAATATTCTTTGTCTTTATGTCACAGATCTGGTATAAAAGAAGAATTTATAAAATTAAATTCTTTTATAGCTTCTTCACAATTATAATTTAAGTGTTCAATTTTTTTAGAACTTCACAGTTTTTCCTTAAGAGCTTTGTCAATATGCCATTGACAAAGCTGTATATCACAAGTAGGCCATGTATTTTTTGCTGCATTTATTTCGGCGAAATCCTTATCAGTATAAAAGTAAACAGGATTTAGGCTATTATTACGAAGAGTACAAAAAAATCCTGTAAGGGCTTCTGTACGTAATCCTTCTTGATTTTCATTTATTGAAGCTTTAGTAGTATCTAATATTAAATATGCTAATGGAAAACCTGCACTCTTAACATTGCTAACGAGTCCATAAAGTTCAAATCGTCCTTTGAAAGTCTTATAGGTAGCATCACAATGGACTTCTATATAGCATGATTGGTTAAGCAATTTTGTTACAAAACCAATAGCCATTATCTTGTCTGTTTCAAGTTGATAGCATAAAGTACAATTATTGTCTTGTTGCTGATCAAAATATATTCGTGCTGAAATAATATGATTTTTATTTGATTTGTAGAATTGTTGTGTATAAAATGACCACCAGTAATGAATTTGCTTGGATGTAATATTAGATAAGTTAAAATTTTTACGAAGATATTTTGTAATTCCACAGGATTTAAATATAAATTTTTACTGATTTCTTGTTTTATTTCATTAGAAGTTTCAGTATTAGTAGGTTTTTCATAAAGAATTTTATGATTTAAAACTACCTTGGCTTCTTTTGAGGGAATATCAATTTTAATTGATATTTTGCCATTACAATTATAATGTACAATTCTCTCACTACTAGAATCTTTATATTCATACACAGTTCACAACTTTGAGAACATGTGAAATAAGCATTTTCAACACCATGGTAACGAGCAGAAAGGTTTGGTGCTGTTGTAGCTCTATATTTTACAAATATTAATAAATTAATTTTTATATATATCTTTTTTCTACCAAATTCAGGTTTCAATCGAATTCGTATAATTTGATCTATCATCAATATCTTGTGATATAGTGATCAAATTTTGATGATTTTGAATTGTTTTACTGAAATGATTCAAATAGTATCAAAATCATCAAAATTTGATCACTACATCACAAAATATCAATGATAGATCAAATTATATGAATTTGATTAAGACCTGAATTTGGTAGGAAAAAGGTATAATTATATTATATTTATATTTTATTACATACGTCCAGTTATAACTATCTCCTTCCTCTATTTCATCTATTATTAATTTTGCCATAATTCTAATGTCTGTTTCAATATTATTAAGAATACCCTCATCAAGTTAAACACAAAAAGAAAGCGAAAGTTCAGCATTGTATTCCAAGTCATCAATTGCATCGATAATATATTTGCTAATTTCTTGAAAAGAAATTAGCTCGATTGTAGGTTGTTCAATATTAGAATCGCCAACTAATTCACTTTGCTTAGTAGTTTTGTTATTAGTTTTCGAAGTTCTACAACAGTTACAAGTCTTGTAAGATTTGCCTTTGTATATGAATACATCAGAGAGAAGAATGCTAGCACAAGTTTCGCAGGTAGGCATTGTAATTGATAAATATTATAAGTGGGAAGGTTTTGTAGATTTATGGGCAAAGAATTTATTTTATTTAAGTTTTTGGATACTTAATAATTGGGATAGATTTTTAATTAAGCTTATTTCGAAAAAAATACTAATGCCAAAAATCTCTCTTTAAATAACTAAATGTCGAGATGACTGTTTCAATAGATATGTCTAGTAAGTTTCACTTCATTTATTATTTTAATATATTTTTTTTTTGTTGATTTGAGTGTGAACAAATACGCATGAAACAAGGATAATTTAATTGAATATATTTAAAATTTGTATTAAACAAAATAACGATCCAGCTATTTGATTATTGATTTGAACAGGGCTGAAGTATACATGAAACAGAAATAACAATTTATTTATTGCCACGGCTGAAGCTGGAAAATGGCAGAAATCAGAAATTTTAAATATTTCAATATAAAAATTTCAAAAATTTTTTGGGCGCATTTTTTTTTTTGATTTAGTAGGGTTTATATTTTTGAATCGATCTCTAATTTCTAGCTTTAGTCGCAATATTTGTTAATTGGAATATGTTATTAGTGTAATTTTTGTTTCATGTGTATTATGGCTGTCTACAATCTGAATTTTGAGAGTTGACTTTAATTGATTGTGCTAACTTAAAAAATGATTTGTTTTATTTCGTAATTTAACAAAGTT